AATAACTTTCGAAATACTATTTCTAGTTAAACGCTTTTAGGCTTACTTCAAAGCCAGTTCTTTTCTCTTTCAAACAAACTATTATCCTTGTCTCCAATGCTAGTAATAATTGCGCAGGAAAAGATTTAGTAAAACCTATCATTTTTAGTTGCTGTTTAATTATGCAAGTTTACTATGTTATTGTTTAGTCGGTTTAAATGTTAGAATTTTCTTCTTTAAACTTTAATGTTGTCGTCACTACATCTGGAAAACCACGTAAGAACAAATTAAAAGTATTTTAAAAGAGACCAGGTTGTTTGAAAATCCTAAACGAATGCTAAAAATCGTCAAAACATTCTGGTGTCTGAGCCAGAGTGTCATCGAATTGCGATGTAATGTAAACAGAAATTATAGCAAGTTGATGTCAGTCAGCTTAGATGGTCCAAGCAAAAATTATATCGCATTTGAAGTTTCAAACTGAGTTAAAAATAGTGGAAGAAAAGCCGTAATTATACTTATTGTTACAATCCATTTAATAAAATGCAACATTTTTTTGTTTTAATGAAAAAATCAGTTATTTTCATGAGAACGATTTGTTATTCCATCTCAATTTTTTTAATCTCCAATCGCAATAACGTAAAGTATTATTACCCGCAAACCAATGAGTCAAATTTAAGAAACAACGCACTGTTAGAAAGCTGAATGGCCACGCTTTAAAATGAATGTAAACTTTAACGTTTTCGTCTATTATTTGTTTAGCAATTTACATTTCAGTCGAGGATTGCGCTTTTTTTTATACACCCTGTATATGCATGTATAATTGATTATTTATTTCTGTTCTAGGGCCTTATTTTGCTTCCTTCACCATAAAGAATCTTCGCACACAAGCAATCTTCATTCAGACAAATTTCCAGCCATCGGGACAATTCCTTCGACTAGACCCAGGCAAAGTTATGTCGCGCAATTTGGAAGTAAGAAGAGCTGATGCCTTAACTTTTATGGCTTACGACGCAATATCATTACAACGTGTCACACTGAATGGTAAAAATGAGATTAGGCTCATTCCAACGACTAAACGAAAAACAGCAACTGTGTTATCCGTGCCTTATAATGGTTAGTATTTTTTAATGCCTTGGCCAGATTGATTTTTCCACAACAGTAGTTATCCATAAACACCCAAATCATAAATCACGAGAACATAAATCCATATCTTTTCGCAACCGTTTAATGTTCTGTTTATTATATGGATTTATTCAGAGTGACAAAAATACACACAAAGACGACATGTTAAATAAGAACGCGAAAGACCAGTATAAAAGCGATATTTTTAAAATTTTTAAAACATAAAACTAGAATAAATTTTACTGTATCTCAAGATGTCTTTTAGATGTTTTCGTTTTATTTTCAACGTTGATTTCGTTTTATATATACGAACGAAAGACCATTTGTATTTTCAAAACCAACAACAATGAAAATGGCTGGAAATCTTCGAACTTCGTATGTCACTAGCAGGGGTGAAATATGGAAAAACACCATTGTCCATATAATAAAATATAATATCAGAAATTCATTTGATCAGTATACCTCGACAAATTGACGAAATTGAAAATAATTTCATTTTACAAATCATAATTCATTATAAAAGTTACTGTATATTCTACCTAACCCCACGATGTAAGGCTAATTTGCAACAGATTTCTGAGAAATTGCGTTTTGGTTTTGCAACATGTTCATGGCCAGCAAGAGACGGACGTTTTCGGGTTTTGCTTGGAAAATGGCCAATGGCCGACTGTTATATTGAACACTGCCGTCATGCTTTTTCAGCATCTCAAAAATCTATCATGCTTGTTACGTCATAGATTCAGTTCACTGAAAAATCAAACTGACCGAAATATTTTGAAAAGATATGAAAGTCATAAACATCTTGGTGAACAAAATCAACAAATGAACATGATTGATGCGGTATTGTTTATTTTTATAGGTTGTCTACTACCTAACGGTCGTTTGTTGAATGTTGGCGAACAGTATACGAATGACCAATGTACAAGACTATGTACATGTAATGAAGAAGGCTCGGTCCCCTGCATGGCATTGTGTCCTACTCGTCCAATCAGTGTATGTAATGCTCCACTGGTCCAAAAGAAAATACGCGTTCCCACAGGCCCCCCTGATAGTAAATGTACCTGTGAACAAGTCATCTGCGTTAAAGCAGGTATGTACTCTAAATACACTCTTGAAAACAATTCTACAATTCCCGATGTCGTGTAGAACGTTTTAAATTGTTCGAACGTTCGGCAACGTTGCTTGTCATGTTCGGCAACGTTGCTTGTCATGTTCGGCAACGTTGCTTGTCATGTTCGGCAACGTTGCTTGTCATATGATGAGAACACTAAATAAACCTGTTTGAACTATTATGGAACATCGTTCATTGTTTTCAAAATATTTAATGCATGTGTTTGGGCTATATTCTATTATATAAGAGATGAATTGGTAGATCTCCACGTTTCTAGCTGTAAGGAAAGTATTTTTATGTATTTTTACTCATGCTTGAGTATATGAAGTGCTTAGCATAGGCGTACGGGAGGAAAGAATTAGGGGGTCGGCCGTAAGTATGCCCGACGTTGGTGAAAATTCTCGACCTTTTGAAATTGAAAAAAAAAGTTGAAAATTTTCAACTTCAAAATTTGTTTCCGACGGAAAATTTGTGCCCGCTCTTCCATTCTATTACTTTTAAGTACAGTTGCCCAACTGCCCTATTTTTAAGTACAAACTGCCCGACCCAAAATTTTTGGGGTCCCTCCCAGCCCTTCCCCTCATCTCGTATGCATATGGCCCACAATACTTTCAGTTTAATCTTATCCAACACCGCAGCATTTCGTTCTTCTATTATTGAAAGCAAATGATCGACGGAGCATTCTGTGTTATTATTATTAGAAACAACGACAGATACATCTGAAACAATCATTCCTCCTGGTGCAAGTAAGTAGAACTCTATAAACCTCTTTTTCATCGCTTTACTCTCCTATTAATGGAGGAATGGGTAATCATTTGTGTAAACTGTACTAGAATTAATCCCCGAGCCGACGGCGCGAAGCGCCGTGCGAGGGCACTAATTCCCCCCCGGCTATTTACACCCGGGGAAACGAAAGCATTAGCGGAGTCTAAAGTTCATCAATTATCGCGGGCGCTCACCAACGGTGTTGAGTGGGTGGTCATCACTGATCTCAAAATATGGCTATTTGCCAGGAGTGAAGAAGGCAAAAATATAAAAAAATACATGTAAAAAAGCCTGGAAAATCGTTTCACATAACAAATTGTACAACTTTTTTGCAATTTTTAAACGTAAACATTGATAAAAATTGATATTGTATGATAAATCCTAAAGTATAGGGCAAGTTTGTTTCAATTGTTTATACATGACTTTGCATTTAATAATATAGACTTTGTTCTTGATGTTTAAGTCTTTCCTATGCATTGTTTGCGAAAGTTTCTTAGTTAAATTAACTTTTGTAGAAGTTCATGATAAAAAGGAAAGCAAATTATTTTCATCAGCGTCCTGTACGAAAAAAGCAGTTAATTTCAATTCACATTTAAAAACGTTTTACGTAGAGTTTCGTTTTGAATTTTACATTAAAATAAAGCCCATAGAAACCAAAGTATTATACCTACTTTATATATTTTAGAAATTGATAGTTCTGTATTTAAAAGTGTTCAAATTTCATCTATTTTTTCCCGGTTTGTACAAAAAATTAAAAAACAATTATCGTGTTGCCAATTTGCCATGACTAACATGACGTGCCAACGCGAGCCTGCGTTCAGTGTTGGCGTAATTACAAATACTTCATGTTGAAACAATGTTTGGAAAATATAAGCGAGGGATTGTTGCATGCATGTATTTCTAGTAATATGATCTATTCGGCTCAAAAATGATAGCAATTTCCGCACGTAATACAAACATATACAAAATATGCAAACTTCGCAAGGCTCTATTTTCCATATTTTACATTTCGTAACCAAATTTTGTAATTTTAATAATTTTAATAAGTTCTTTACAGGAATTTACTTTTTTTTGCCTAGATCAAAAATTAGTCTAACACGCAAGTTGTCTATTGATTTGGGTACGATTTAGTGGATTATATGGAAATGTGTTGTCGCCCCCCACCCTCCCCAATCGAGAACGTTTTGAGCCTGGAAAAAGTTTGTTTTGTGGACACTAAGCTTAAATACTAATATGTGATTATTTCTTTTATCAGTGAATCATGCATTGCTTGGTTACGCCACACAATCAAACACAAGCAGAGCTGGCTATGCATATAACGCTGTGGATGGCAACAGAAGCGGCAATTACGAAGATTTCTCTTGTACTCATACACCTACTGAGGAGAATCCATTCTGGTCTGTGTCATTTGAACCCGGTTCTGTCAACGTATCAGCCGTACGAATAACAAACAGACAGGACTGTTGTCAAGACAGATTATCCGACTTCGAAATACGTATTGGAGAATACTTTGGCGAAGAAGCTGAAAAGAGTCCAAAATGTGGCGGGTTGCATACAATAAGCGGTGATTCTAAAGTTATATCATGTCCAAATATGGTTGGTCGTTCCTTGACTATAAGAATACCTGGAAAACACAAGACTCTAACCTTGTGCGAAGTTGAAGTCTTCGGCACCAGTAAGTATTCATACATTCATGCTGAATACTACATATTCTACACCATGTACTCCTAGACAAAATTAAAAACGCATTAATAATTCAGGAAACCACTGCCGTGTCGGTGGTTTTGTATGCGTTAAAAATCATGTTAATTTACATAAACTAAGACAACGTTGATTTTTTTAAAAAAATATGTTAATTGATTTTTAAAAAATTATGTTATTTTTCATAAACTAAGACAACGTTGATATTTTTAAAAAAATATGTTAATTGATTTTTAAAAAATTATGTTAATTTACATAAACTAAGACAACGTTGATTTTTTAAAAAAATATGTTAATTGATTTTTAAAAAATTATGTTAATTTACATAAACTAAGACAACGTTGATTTTTTTTAAAAAATATGTTAATTGATTTTTAAAAAATTATGTTAATTTACATAAACTAAGACAACGTTGATTTTTTAAAAAAAATATGTTAATTGATTTTTAAAAAATTATGTTAATTTACATAAACTAAGAAAACGTTGATTTTCTCGGCTAAGACAACGTTGATTTTTAAAATTACTTCGCCAATGAACTCATAAAATGGGTCGTTTTTTAAACCATTTAAGACACTCCCATTCCGTGCTTTATCGGGTATAAAACACTGAGTTGTCTGTTGCCTCGTGTTTTATTTCTCATAAAGCACTCCTGTTCGTGTTTTTAGTAGTATACAGTGCACTCTAAAAACATTCTGTTAACAATTGGCAGTGTTGTAAAAATTACCCAATCTCGTCTGATTGCTCATTTAGGTGCAAATAAGATTGTACTGTATGAAAATGCACCTAAGCAAAAAAGCTACAAAAACAAGGAGTATAAATGTATAATTCAACTGCGTTGAATTTGTTACTTAATCTGAGTAAGGCAATTTCTGTCCAGTCACATGACAAGTAAACGTTCAACAGCCGAACGTACTTGACCTTACTGTTGTTCCTGAAATTCGAAACTGTAGTTTGATGTTGTGCTGTGGTGATGTTAACACGCCAAGCTTTATTAGTGTATGTATCTTAACGAGTCTTTGAATTATACAAACGAAAAAACTAATCTGATTTTTCATGTATATTGCTTTATAGGAATCCTTGGAACATCAAGACATCGCCGCCGGCCATATGGTCCAAAAAGATAGAGTAATAGTTAAAAGTATTAAATATATAGTAAGAGCCAAGTAAATTATTGCATAAATAAACAATTGGGTGCAAGACGTGACATGATCAATTTATAGACTTATAAATATAAAGTTAAGAGTATAACTTTACTTAATGTGTCTTGTTGTAAAGTATATGTTTAGAATTTCACCTGTATTATTAAAAGATGCTGTAAAGTCCGTTCTGCGCATCAGTTCTGCTCATAACAAAGGGGGACCCGCAGATATAAACATTGCCCAAATTTGCATCTTTCTAACTTTTTTGAATTGAAACATAGAGTTTATTGTTTACATTACGGACTTTACAGCATCTTTAACCTAACCTCCTGTTTTGTTTGAAAATAATAGTTTTTCTTCAATTAACGCTTGTGTTTTCTTTTTATCATTTTCATATATTTAAAACGATTAGGTTTTGTTTACAAAGCCTCGGAGCACAAGAGCAGAGGGTCAATGGACCCATAGAATGGACCTTATGCGTAATGACATCACAAGGCTTGATGCCCGTGAGGAATGCTGGTCTTAGTATAATCATCACCCGGGAAAATTTCGATTGTGGCCATTTTGAATTGTTTAATTTTCCCAGGCGATGACTACTAAGACCGGCATTCCTCGCGGGCATCAAGCCTTGTGACGTCATTTTGCATAAGGTCTATTGTGTCTAGACAACACAGTCTCCAGCATTAATAAATTAATAGTGTCAGATTAAGGTTAGCGTTGGGGTTAGGGTTAGGGTCAGGTTTCCCCTAGATAGATAATCCCCCTGGATGAGCAGTGTTGAGTTCGTTGTAGTTGTCATTATTATATAATTGTCATTCTTTATTACAAGAGATACATACTCTGTGGAAGCATACAAGAACTAAGTTTTATTTTACATCAAGTGCGTTTATGTTACAATGTGCTAAATTACAATTGGTCAGAATAATTATTAATCATGCTATATATGGCATTACAGGAAATATATTGTATTCATTGTCTTAATCATATCATTGGTTAGCTGAACTAAAATCACAACTAATTACATTATTGTTATATGAAGTATTATGAGCATAACTTAACACCCCCACTTGCTCTTATGCTGAATGATACTCACCTGAAATAAATGGTCCAAACTTATCTAACTTGACTTTACTAACTGGCTTTGTAAAGATATCTGCTACATTCTCGTCCATTGGAATATATGCTAATACTATACTACCTGTTCGAACTTCACTTCGAATGAAATGATACTTCACATCGATATGTTTTGATCTTTTATGATACATAGGGTTCTTAGCTAAATTGATTGCACCTTGGTTGTCACCATTTACCAGAACACTATAACTTACCTAAACAATATTTAGATCAACACACAACTGCTTTAAGAACTTGGCTTCCTGCACTGCATCTGTCAGTGCCATATACTCTGCCTCACATGTGGACAGTGCAACAGTTGGCTGTTTTCGACTTCTCCAAGAAACTAAAGGACCCTCGTCCAACAACTGAAAACCGTAGCCAGATATGCTACGCCTGTCACAAACATCACCTCCCCAATCTGAGTCACAAAACCCAATAAGTTTTAGAGTACTCTCAGATTTCCTGAATCTCAATCTTTGCTCAATTGTTCCTTTCAAATACCTTAGAACATGTTTTGCAGCAATAAGATTAACTTCAGTGGGTTTCGACATGTTTTGGGAAAGCTTAGTGACTATATAACACAAATCAGGCCTTGTACCTGTCATCACATATATTAAGCTCCCAACTATCGCTCTATAAAGAGTTGGATCTTTTAATTCAGGTGATTTCGTATCCACAACCTTATCTAAACCTAGTACCGTTGGGGTCACCTTTGGCTTGCATTCTGCCATGCCAAACCTTAACAGCAATTTCTCAATATATTGCTCATTTCAATTGCACCTTCTGAACACTTGAATTCTGTACCTAGGAACCATGACAATATCCCTAGGTCCTTCATTCTAAATTTATTACTTAAAGAATCTTTCACACTCTGCAAAAGAATTTCATGGCTAGCAGAAATTATGAGATCGTCAACCCAAATGATGAGTGAAGCTCTCCATAAGGTAATCATGTAGCATGTTGTTCCAATTGCGTCCACTCTGCTTAAGACCGTACAAAGACTTATTTAATTTGCACACCAACCTCTCACCATTTTGTCCTACCCTTTCGTAGCCTTCTGGCTGTTCTATGAAAATCTCACAGTCTATTGGGGCATTTAAATAGGCTGTTTTTACGTCCATCTGATGAACAAGCATATCATTCTGAATTGCCTGCTGTAACAAAACACGAATAGAGCTCATCCGAGCGGTTGGGGAAAAGGTTTCATGGTAATCAATACCAGGAATCTGCGAGTAGCCTTTTGCTACATAACGAGCTTTGTATGTTTCAGCCTTATCTGGTCCTGTCTTAACGGTATACACCCATTCCCCCCCCCCACTACCTCACGGCCCTTTGGGGGTGGGACCAACTCGAAAGTTTCATTGCCCTCTAAGGCCTCAATTTCATCATCCATGGCTTTTTCCCATTTATTTCTTTCAGAAGAATGTACTGCTTGGGAATAGCTAGTTGGAATGTCATGGGTTCTATAGCAATAATCAACTGCACATGTTGCTGCATCATCAACAACCTTACCAGTCACATATTCATTCAAATATGTTGGCTTAGTACGAGTTCGACTAGGGTACCGTACTTCATCATGCACAGTTTCAGTGCCATTTACACTTTCATCCCCTTGTGTTGATATTACACTCTCATTGGCAATAGGTACAGACACTTTACTGGGAAGAAATTCCCCTTCCTGCTCGTCAGGATTAACCTTAGATTCATGGTTGCTCTCATTGAAAAATTTCACACACCTTACACGTTCAACCTTATTGGAATCAGGATAAAAGACAAGATATGCAGGACTTCTTTTAACATATCCCACAAATATACCCTGTTTACTTCTAGGATCTAATTTCTTTGCATTTTGCACATATGCGTAACAAACGGAACCAAAGACATGCATATTGCTCAAATCTGGTTTAGACCCTGTAAATGCCTCATAAGGAGTTTTGCCCAATCTCGCATTGAAGCAACGATTTCTGATGTAGGCTGCTGCCATAACAGCATAAGTCCATATGGACTTTGGCAAGTTTGCCTCAAGCAACAAACATCTAGCCATATTAAAAAGACTCAACCATGCTCTTTCCACCGTTCCATTCTGATGTGGGGAATATGGTGCACTAGTCTCATGCCTTATCTTATTTTCTCGAAGAATAGAATTGAATTTATGACTAGTGAATTCTGTGCCATTGTCACTCCTGACACGCTTAACCCTCCCAAAAGGAGCAGCATCGGCCAAAAATTGCTGTAATGCTTCTGGGGTATCACTCTTACATTTTAGAAAATAGACCATAATAATCCCTGAATAGTCATCAACGAATGACAGAGCATACTTAAAGCCATCTTTTCCTACAGGATCAATAGGACCAGCCAGGTCACAATGCACAAAATCTAATGGGGCAGTTGCTCTTTCATCTGGGGATCTATTCCTAAATTGGCACATCTTACCTTTAGTGCAAACAGTACACTCTACTTCATCATAGTTGGAAATATTCATCCCCTGTACAACATTTTCCAATTTCTGAACATCACCATAATTACAGTGACCAAGGATTTTATGCCATTCATGCAGAGAACATGCACTATTCTTAGAGGATGAAATACTATTTAAATAATATAACCTACCTTTTTGTTCCATTCCAAACGTTGTGCCATCAGGACATTTGAGCTGTTTCACCTGCTTATCTAAACTAATACTGGCCCCCCTTTCTATCGTAGCATGCACTGAAAAAATATTTTGATCATAGGACGGAACATACAATGCGCTATTTAACATTACTTCACGTGCATTACCATTGACGTCATAAAGTTTAACTTTGGTACGCGTATGTTGTCATAGTAACGAACTCTCTGTTACTAAAACTAACAAAATTTGAAAGTAGAGATACCAAAATATGCAAATTAGAAACCCCATATCTTCTGAAAAAACCCTAAAAATGCGTAGTTTTAACATGTCAAAGTGTTGAACATATCTTGAAAACTATATCGAGCCACCTCAAGATGCATGGCTCAATACAATTTTTAAATAAGTGCAAAATTCACGATTTAGATGCGTATTTTGGACAATTATCACTTGTATGTAAACAAAAAGTGCCTTACTTATATAAAACACATCTAAAGAGTTTGAATTTTTGAAACAACAAGAAAATATTTCTTTAAAAAAAGAAATAATGTTTCGTTCCAATATAATTATAGAAATACCAGACGTCTGTAATTAGCGGTTGTGACCATAGAGTCACTTGTACATATATGTCGAGCAATGAAATTGGTTCATTTTGTGAGGCGGGCGGGTTCTATAAATTTTCATTACCCAGAGGGGCCGAGCGGTCCAGAAATACAGTTGTAATATTTAAAATGAAGAAAAACAAAGAAAACTATATAATAAATATATACCGCTGTTGGCGCTTGAATACTTCAAATATAAATCATCGTGCCTGTAGATTTTGACCTGAAGTTCAGGCCCTAAGATTTTGATTGGTTGCAAGTTCACATAAACAACAGTTTTAAAAATAGCTCGGTGAAGGGCTCAAGGGGACAATAATAATATAAAGGTCAAATGCACGTAACAAATCCATTATCGATTTCTTCGAATTTCTTTTCTTTTATGCTTTATGGCAGAAAATAAATCAAACAAATAGTATTTTGAAGGTCTTTATCAAAATCTTTGACGAATTTTGGACACACGACGCTGAAAGAACAGCCAAACTAGTCATCTATTCGAAAGTTTGTTGTTGACAGCCAAGATGTTCTGCCAACTGGCTTCGCCGGCAAAAGTCTTATTTTTAATATCAGGTCCTACCGGCGTTGTTTTCTGAGCTACATCGCCTTCTTCGTGGTACGATTGAGAATTTTATTGTTGCTGTTGTTAGCCCGTTAAAGTATATCCCTGGTATATATCCGCGTCCAGCAAGTTGAGACCTTGAGAAAGCTTGGCAGTCAAGCTGTACACAGAACTGACTAATTGAATCTTCGTTTGCTGTTCGGTTAAATAGAGAAACTGACTCTTAATTATATAAAAGTACCTTGAATTTTTAAGTTTAATTAAAAAGCAAAATGCACACTCTGCGGACATGTTCATGAGAATATAATTTTTTTGTGTAACGAAATCTATAACACTTGTCAATCATATTGCATGCTGTGTCTAAAAATAACATGTGAGCGTCCCACGGTCTAGACAGGTTTTGTATCAGGCCCTATTTAAAATTAGGCCTGAACTTCAGGTTAAGTTAGCATGTTCTCATAGGTTGATATATAATTAACTAAGATTTCCGAATTATACGCCACGCCTCCAAAAAACTTCTTATGCTAGGAGCGGTCATCTCATTGGACGATTCTAAATGTAATTGACGTTTGAGCAAGAATACTGGCAAAGGATTGGATAACTTTGATCTCTGACGTCACTTTCCTGTGATAATTGCTCGAAACCAAATACAGTACCGTTTCGTTCCTGCGGGGAACGAAACAAAAATTACGCAACTGCCGTTGCTATGGCAATAATGATGTTTCAAGATGGCGGATATTTTGGTTTAGAGCAGGTTTAGAGTAATTTAACTCGTAAACAACATTGGTGACCCCCAAATTTCATTTTAAAAAATGATTTCTCTTAGTATAATCAATTATTTTGACAATTTAAAAAAATTCTGTGAGCCAAAAAGTTTTAAATTACGTGAAGGTGATTATTCATAATAACTTGCCTCCACATAATTTTTTTAAATTGTCAAAATAATTGACTATACTAAGGGAAATAATTTCTTAAAATAAAATTTGGGAGTCACCGATGTCGTTTACGAGTTAAATTACTGTAATACCAACATACTCGCCATCTTGAAACGTCACTGATTGTTGCCATAGCAACGGCAGTTCCTTATCTTTTCTGCAAAAATTCAAACTTTTTAGATGTTGTTTTTTAATAAGTAAGGCAGCTTTTGTTTACTAATAAGTAATAATTGTCCAAAAATACGCATCTAAATCGTGAATTGTCCATTCTTAATTCGGAATTTTGTGGAACCATTGGCATTAGCTCGAGCAGTAGATCAAGGTCAAATCGATAAAATCTGAATTTACATAAAAATTGGATCAGATATTTCATAAGAGATTGTCTTGCTTTCCGACCCGAAAAGAATTGCATAAATTATTGATGCACAATTTATTTATTATATTATTTTACCCTCGCAGCAGTTTATTTTCATATTATTTTTTGTACGTCGGTATCTGCCCCCTATCCTCTGTATTTGTACAATTATTTATTACACATTTAAACATAATAATTATTTTGTATTTTTTCAGATATAGTTTGGTTACCTATAAATCTCACTGTCACTATAACATCAAGTCTAGAAGTGCTGAAATACCTTGGCAAGATCACAGAATAAAGATCAGTAACAGAAGGACAACTCAGCGGTGCAACGTGTCCTCGTTTTTTTATGCAAAAATATGCAGTTTACTGGCCAGAAGGCGGAGCAGCCAGCCAGTACAGCGTGTTTATTGGCCAGAAAATGTCATTGACTGGCTAGGAAAATGGCGGCCAACATGCGTAATGCGACATGCGCGAGGACAAAAACTTCAAAGCTTCCGACGTAAGTTGCCCTTCTATGTGGATCTTTATTCTATGGCAAGATCCTAAAATCATGAAAGATTCGATCTTTCACGCTTTTGAAGAAAAAAGGCTTTCTAATCCTGAACATTACTACAGGGAAAGTGAATGAATATAAAATAAATAATCTCACTCCAGATACTACATATAAAATATCTGTAGCTCCTGGCAACGATTATGGTCTCGGTGAAGAGAGTATTACTTCGCAATGAAATTAAACTTGCAAGCTCAGTTACAAGTTTTCTGAAAAAATTTGCGCACTTTCAGTACTTTTTTCACGAAATTAAATACCTCAAATTATCTATCTCGCTCCTGGTGAACTAGTTTAACTAACTTACTGCAGTGGTCAACTCGAAAGCCTAGGCTACTTTGATCACTGTGCACAACTGTTACTTTCATAACCGCTTATAATGTAATCTATGATATTTAGTTTTCTGTAATATTTTGTGTATTTTGTGTATTTATGTATAAATGTGCGAATCCTAATAAAATCCTAAATGCTTGAAGTCTGTTTCCTTGAAAAAGATATTATGTTTCCAAGTTTTGACATTTTCTAATATTGGCTGTAGTTTCCCCGTTGCTGAAAGATTCGTGGTTTACGTCAATTATTATTAGCATGATAAAATTACTGGATGCTGATTGGTTGAGATGAGTACAATTATTTCATTAATTGTACTGCAATACAATTAATGATTTTCCCCAAACAAGCAAAATGGCGGAAACTGGTATTTTAAATACAAGCACAGACACAAGTGTGAAATGAAACTGCTCTAAAATTTTATGAAAATACGAACAAAAGCACCAAATTTTGCTTTAGCAAAAGAACTAAATGAAAATGCGAACTGAAGCACCAAATTTTGGTTAAAAATCTGGCAAGACTGGACTTTGGAGAGAATATGATCTTGAAGGAGAAGTATCAAATTTTGCATGGTTGCCAAGTTTTCAAAAAAGTTAGGTGTGGGATTTTCTCGAAACTCCACATACCATAGTCAGGCGTACAGTATGTATTGCAATGGCGGCAATTCTGATCATATTTGTTGCGGCGGCCACTTGCCTCATTCTTATACATGTGTGTATAGTGGCAAAGCATCATGAAATTCTCACTAAAATGAATTTTATTAAGGTTTGAATGCGCTATTTGTCAGCGATTTCTCGTAAATCATGTTTGAATTTTGAGGCGTTTATCGTGTTTATTGTTAAAGTTTTATCTTATAATTTTGAAATGATCTTGATTTGAAAGATACTTTTAAAAATGGGTAAGAATGCGTGCGAAATAGAGCAAAGATCACAGAATGCGTGGAACTTTCAGTATGTGTGGCACAAGCGTGAGGTGACATTCAAATGCGTGGATCCCACGCGCAATTTGCGTTGGCTTGGCAACTATAATTTTGTCATGTGCTAATAATAAACTAGTAATCACGCGAAGTTGCTCGTACAATTAGGGATTACAGTCGTGCCAATAGAAGCGTTCCGAAAAATGTTGACCAGTTCATTTCCTAACTTCGAGGAGTTCCTCTGAACAATTCCTCAACAATTTGATAAGTTCCTTAAAAAGTTCCTAACTTCCTGTTTCATTGACCAATCAGATTGCTCAAAAATAAAATATAAAATTTGATTGGTCAATGAAACAGGAAGTTGGGAACTTTTTAAGGAACTTATCAAATTGTTGAGGAATTGTTCAGAGGAACTCCTCGAAGTTAGGAAATGAATTGGTCAACATTTTTCGGAACGCTTCTATTGGCACGACTGTAATAGTACTCGTGATGTTTGGAAATTTGCCAAATTTGACTCGCCCCGGCAGCTCGTCCAATTTTGGCAAAATTTGCAAACATCACTCGTACTATTAATCCATACTTGTACTCGCCATCGCATGATTACCTATATATTGAACGCAAAATACCTATATATACTTAATTATATGAATCCAGCATTTCCACTCCATTGAATTTGTGTTTTGTTCTTTAACAACTGATATCTTGAGTTCACAAAATGATAATATTCATTCGTGGGAGCTTTTGAAAACGCTAAATTTATTGACACAGGAAACCTTGATGAGTCAAATCTAGCCTGCGTAGCAGGCGTTTAGCTGACGGGCGGGTACAGAGGAAACGCCTGCCCAAATGGCTATGACAAATTTGTTTTCGCCCATGAAGGATGATTGACGTTTTGTAATTAGCACCTTC